TATTTGTGCAGTAGTCAACGTTAGCCATGACTTTCCCTTAGAAACTTTACTTCTTGTCTGTCATGTCATTACAGTCCTTGGGTTTGGGGAAATCTGTAATTAATCAACCCCTCTCTTTCTCCTTTTATGGCAACATCAACTTCTTACTATCCTCTAATGGTAGCTATTCACCCAGATTTTTCCAGCCTTGTTCCTTTTTTCTCTCTTCATTTTCTCCCCTAATGGTTTTATCTATTCCTGTGGTTTCAAATCCAGCCTCACTGTGGATGACTCCAGTGTCTACATTTAAGTCCAGCCTTTCTCCTACGTCTCCACCCTATATTTCCACCATATTGTCTGATTACATCTCAAACTCAAGGAGAACAAAGAGGAACTCATTATTTTCTCTCTACATTTTTCCTCCCACATTCTCTTTTTATCTGTTGTTGGCACTTTGATTATTGTAGTTACCCAAATGTTTGAGTGATATTTGAGTTTCGTTTCTCCCTTCATTTTCTCACTAACTGGATGACAAGTCCTGAGGATTTTTATTTCTACTACTGTTGTCCACTAAACAACCATTGCTCCTTTTTCATCTACTTTAAGGAACTCTCAATATTGTCAGGGCAGCACCATATTCAGGCAAGGAGTTCCCTTCCTAACTCGAAGAAATTAGCCACAAATAGTCTAAGCCCAAAATGGTAATCCCATTCTCTGTGGATGTGGACTCATGTAGAGATGGGCATGTGATCCGGTTCTGACCAATGAGACAAAGAGATGTTTGCTAGGAAGCTTATGGGAAGCATTTTGCACTTATAAAAAGAAAGACAGTAAAGAGACCCCTCCCACTTCTTCCTGCCCTGATTGCAGTTGTCCTGGAGCTGCTGCAGCTGCCTATGACCAGTGACGCAATATGCACGGGACAAAAAGTGGAGAGGAAAGACAAAAGAAGCCGGGTCCTTTATGGTGTAGTTTAGCCACTATAGTGATTTTGGAACCACCTACTTCCAGACTTTTCCTCTGAGAGGTAATTAAGTGTCTTCATTTTTCTAAAACCTGTGTTAGTCATTAATCTGTTATTTGCAACTGAACATATATTCATTTTGATAAAACTCCCAAAATCCCTCTCAGATCTTTAGAATTTTAAAAAATTCCTCTTGATTCTTAAAGTACTCTTCTCAATTTGCAGTCATTTATTTGTTTGACTACCTGTTTACTGATAATATCCCTTATTAGACAGTACCAGGGAAACAGGATCCCTTTTCTTTTTCTTTTTAAGAAGGCAAGATTCTCACTCTGTTGCCCAAACTACAGTGCGGTGACATGATTATAGCTCACTGCAGCCTCGAACTCCCGGGCTCAAGTGATCCTCCTGCCTCAGCCTCCCAAGTAGCTGGGACTATAGGCACAAGCCATTATGCCTGGCTAATTTTTAAAATTTTTGTAAGACTGGGTCTATGTTGCCCAGGCTGGTCCTGAACTCCTGGCCTCAAGTGATCCTCTTGCCTCAGCCTCTCAAAGTGCTGAGATTATAGTCATGAGCCATCATGCCTAGGCCCTTTTCTATCTTAATCTTGCTGTCTCCCTAATATATAGCATAGGATCTCACATTGAGTGGATGCTTAGGAAATAATTATTGAATGAATAAATGAATAAACAAAGGAAAAAACTGATACCTAGGAAATGAATTATTTTTCAGATAACATATGGAGGCTGAGTGGAGAGTGTTATTTTTATTATTAATAATATAACAGTAGATGATTCAGATATTGCACTTGACCCTTTAAAATCTAAGGCCAAGGAAATGAGTGTGTAGCCCCATTGGCTGAAGGCCCAGAAAATAGAAGGTTAGAGACTGGGATGAGGTTAGACATTAGAGATGCCAGCATCTGAATAAAAGTTCAAATGTGACCCTAAGACTAGTCTAGGGTCAACCTCTTGTCTCTAGTAGCTAATTTTTCCATACTCCTACAGTGACAATGTTCAAACCATTTTTATCTGATAAACTGATTAGCATATTAACCAAGATTAGCCCAGGCAACTGGATAGCCATACTCTCTTAAACTGTATTCAAAGTCTGATTACTTTTTTCAAATGGCAATTAGTGACAAATGGAAACTGAACTCTAAGCCTGACCAGCTACTCTGAGTACTGCAGAAACCAAGCCTTCGTTCTGGGGAGGGAGGCACCACTTTGCTTAATGAACTTGTCCCTTTAGCGTGTCTTCTGAATTTATCTCTGTGATGTGCCCCTGCCTCCTCCACATCCCCCATGTGGCTGCCTTCAGATTTTTTCATTATTAACTTCTTCTTTCTTAATTTCTTCCTTGCATAACCCCAGCCCACAAGGTTCTTTCCTTTAACTTCAATTTCATTAGCATTTACTGTCTGTACTTCTAAACTGATTCTTTGATACATCTACTTCTCTATTGTAAGCCAGTTCCTTAATTGATTTCCCCAATAAAATTAAAAGCTGCTTGAGCATGGGAACTGGTGTACCCAAGTCTGTGGGATGCACAGAACCTTACAGAGGGTAAATTTCATGTGGCTGCTTAGAGCATAAATGGTTTAAAACAAAAATTGAAATCATCAAAAATTGGTGGGAGAAAGGCAGGCAGTAAAAGCAAGGAGGCTTTCTAAATTTTCTATACTTCCATTTTGTTTGATTTTTTTGTCTTCCAGTAAGTATGTATTATTTTTGTAATTAAAATTTAAACACTAAGTAGCAAAACAAAGCAAACAAAACTGGGAGATGTCTGTATCTATCAAATGGCACTTTACATTTCCAAGGAAACATTCTTGGTTCAAAATACCTGAAGATGCTGGGATAAATATTTAAACATTTAAACATTTCAGCAGACAAGAAACTGTAGGGCCAATGCTTTGTGTAACTGCAGGGGAAATTAATAATGTCACATTCTTTATGTGGTAGCCCTGAAAGAAACTAAGAGAAATTCTAAAGTCAAATGTAACAGAAAGCTCAAATTCTAAGAGGTATGGAATACTGAAACTGACAGCTGTCTTGGGGACATTTGCAATTCCCTAGCAGCCAGGAGCTCTTGGATTCAACAGGCTTCATAAGTTGGGGAACAGGCAAAAAGCATAGGGCCCATGAAAGAGAGAATTTAAAAAATGAAAATCTTCTAATTCAAGAAAAAATAAAAAGTAAACACTGAATATCAGGCTAAAGCACTGCCTCTCTACATAGAAATATTCTTACCTTGCATCAAGTTCTCCTTTGCATAAAACATTGACATTTTCATAGTGTTTGGGAGCCTGCTGCTGGCTTCCAAAAGCTCTGGCACCGTATCATGCTGTCACTGTAACAGCTCTCCAGTGAGCCATCAAAAACTCAACTATAGCATTTTGAATACAGCAGTTTGCTTGCCACCAAAACACTAAATTGCAATATTTTATATTTTTCTCTATTTAAATTTAGTGATGCTGCATAAAGTCTAACATGGTCTTAAGCTAATACAATCAAAAAAGTCTTAATAACACTACATATTGGCACAGCCTCTGGTGAGTTTGGTCTGCTAAGCAGGCCCAGTGAATGTTGCTCAAGTCATTTAGTTAGTCCCCTCTAACTAGAATGTGACATGAAGATGCTACACAGTTTCCCCCACGAAGAGTATTTCCAGAAGCAATGGCAAGGGATGCGTAGGGTAATTTGCTCGTACTGAATGTACAAAGGAAGTACTTGGGAGTAAGACAAAGATTTCCAAAAATGGTCTGGAGAGAGAGGTTAACAATGTTTGATTTAGTTCTTTTCTGGCTTGAGAAGCAAAAAGTAAGCCTAAGTAAGCTCTCAAGCCTCTAAAGCCTTTGGAGGCTAAGACCTTAGACTTCCCCAGTGCTGAAACCACAGCTACCAATGACAAATTCACAGATTCCCCACTTTTCCAGTGGCTGCACAAAAGGAGATTTCCCTGGGCTTCCAGAAGAGGTGGCTCTAGGAAGCAAGACCAAGGGAGGTGAAGTTGCCCTGGAGGCCAGAGCCTCAACTGTCAACAACAAAGCCACAGGGAACCAGGGCTTGAAGATCAAGTGGTGATAGGGAAACTGAGGTCTGCAGCACTCTCAACCTCTCTCCTGTTCCTTATGGAACAACTCTTCTAGCCTTCCCAGCTCTGTCCCTCAATTTACTAAGAAAAGATGCTGAACCCTTTCAGAGCCCAGAGGCCATCAGACTAAGATTCTGATTTAAAAGATAAGCATGAATAAAAGGCAAAGGAAATGTTTTCAAAACAAAGCATACATTGGTAAATAATGTTTAGCCTTTCTCCTCTAACACCAGGACCCCTGCATCCAAGCAAGGTGACCCCTAATAACTACCATCCATGCCCTTGCAGCAAGAATCAGAATATTTGTTCTTGTTTTAGAAGCACAAATGGTCCTAAGAGCAGATTTTCAAAAATGAGAGGAACTATAATTCCAATGAAGACATCTTGACCCTTTTAGGATGAGTATAATGATGTGTTGTCGATGTATCTTTCTGCAGCCATTCTTTCAAGATGCTGCCTCCCTACTCCTCTTGCCTGATCAGTCTTCTATCACAAGCCAGACTAACTGAAACTCTAAAGAACTCCCAGCCCTGAGAGTATATGACCTGACTGCAAGCAGATTGGTTGCAGACAACTAGGAGAAGACACATTCCCCCTGAAAGACCCTCTTTGGTCAGATACATCACTGGATGTAGCTTTACTGCCCAAAGGATCAACTCTTGGAGTTTATTCCCCTCTTTCCCTATCTATGGTTGGTCTAACTTTTTATTAGCCTTGAATAAAACATAGAATGTGACCTAAGATGTGTTGTTAACGCCCGTATTTCAGGGAAACAAAGAGTCACAGATGGTGACAACATGGGTAAAAATTCGTATCTACTTGGAACAAGGGCAGAGTCAAATTCTCACTCTAGTTTCATTGGGATTACACTGAAATGTGGGTAGGAATGTGCACAAGTTCAAGCGTAACCTTCTTCCAAGCAATCCTGGCCAATGGTACGTCCATCCACACTGCTCACCTGGAAAAGGCAGCTCCCAGCACAAATGCAGCATACTCCTTCACCGCGGGCTCTGTGCTGTTTAGCCCGTTGATCACCACTTGAAGACCACCGAAGGAAAGCAGGTCCTGTGCATTGTCCATCTGCAACAAAGGCACTGTTTAGTATAGTACAGCCATCAAGGAAAGAAAAGTTCTTCTTATACTCTTTGTTTTGGCAACTATCCAAAATCAAATTAGAAAGCCAAAAAAAACCAATAATGGCCTTTTTGACTAACTAGGAAAGGGTTTGCAAAAACAAATCAATTTTTTAAATAATCTTAAATTTGAGAACTCCTAATTCATGTAACATGATTTATAAGTACCTGCGTGGGAATCAGTGGAAATGGCACCTAGCTATTGCTTATGCCAAACATGTCCTGGAAAATTCTAATACCGTAATGAGTCACAAAGCTTACTCCTAATGTACAAGCTGTTAACACAAAGAATCTGGCATCATCAGCACCACTAAATGGTGCCATGCTTCCTGTTGATGTCCAACCCCAATGGGGGCAGTGGAGGTAGCAAACATTTTTTTTTTAAAGCTGATTTTTAATTAGAAGCCAGGGACTATAAAAGGAGCCCTGTTGTTAGGGAGTAGCAGGGAGTGCTATAAGAGTGCTAGGAGAAGAATAACAATAGTATCCTTCTCTTCCATTTAGGGTTGACTGCATCTGAAGACATTCATGATAAAAATCTGCATGAAAATCACTCTCCCAAAGGCTTTCGTCTAGGCTGTGCTACTGGCTAGCGGCTATGTATGGAAAAGGTGCAGAACATTTTTATTATCACATAAAGTTCTATTAGACAGCCTTGGTCTAGGCTATCATTTAAGATCCAGCTCCCCAAGTCCAGACTCTCTCCCCTTTATTTTAAAGGGGATCTCATTCCCCAAGCTTCATTAGTATCTGGAACAAAAGGACTCAACTTTCTCTCTCTCTCTCTCTCTCTCTCTTTTTTTTTATGAGACAGAGTCTCACTTTGTTGCTCAGGCTAGAGTGAGTGCCATGGCATCAGCCTAGTTCACAGCAACCTCAATCTCGTGGGCTCAAGCGATCCTACTGCCTCAGCCTCCCAAGTAGCTGGGACTACAGACATGAGCCACCATGTCCGGCTAATTTTTTTTGGTGTATATATTTTTAGTTGGTCAATTAATTTCTTTCTATTTATAGTAGAGACGGGGTCTCGCTCTTGCTCAGGCTGGTTTCGAACTCCCGACCTTGAGCAATCTGTCCGACTCGGTCTCCCAGAGTGCTAAGATTACAGGCGTGAGCCACCACGCCCAGCCTCAACTTTCTCAAGAAGGGCGCTGGGTCCTGTTTTCCCCACGTAGTAACTCAGAAGCATCTTTGCTGCTACAAAGGCTGCCTCCTGCCCACATGCTGATCCCACTCCATAATCATCATGAAAACTTAGGGAGCAAGAGCTCAGCAACCATGTGCCTGCTTGCCCACCCTCTTCCTGCAGGGACACGAAGCCATTTCCTACCTGACAGCATCCTTGCCTCTGCACCAGAAGAGAACTCGGACAGAGAAACTGAGTGTGAAGAACAGTATCTGAATCTGCCAATGTTTCTGGGTGGGCCTAACCTGTTTTCACAACTTGAAGGATCATTCGTTTTGATAGATTATCCATGAGAGCAGGGGTTTTGTCTGCCTGTCCACTGCTATAGCTCCAATGACTGGAATAATGCTGAGCATACGGGTAGGTGCTCAACAAATAATTATTGAACTGATGAATATGAACTTGACCAGAAAAAATGATCCTGAAATAAAACTCCACTGTGAATAAAAAAGGCAATCTGAGGTGTCTGTGCCAACAATATGGAAGGGCCCCTGCTACCACAGACCTGAAGTGATGGCCAAACCAGATCATGAAGCAAGCATGAAGTCTGCTCTGCGCACACACGCACACACACACACACACACACACACACACACACACACACACACCCCCAACGGCAGGATCTTTCTGCCCCAATCTGTCCTTGTGAAGAGGAGTGATTACTGGGCCATAGCCCAGTCGACTAAGGAGACCCACAGTTGGGTGCTCTGCTGACATAAGCACCTTCCTTCCTCACATATTCATATCTTAAAATAAGCATTCACTGCCTATCCTGTGATCCTCCTCTTTCTAGGTATTCTGAATGCAAAACCATGGCTCAGAATCCTGTCTTTCCATACCTGGAATGGCTACTCATCAAAGCGAGTATGAATTCCTAGCAGAGCAGCTGCCACTCTGTCAGCCCCAAAGCAACAGAGCCCAGAGTCGCAGAGTTTCTGTTCTAGATTCAGTATATCTATATTATTGCAACGATAATTCAGTGTGATATAAATGCTGACATTTATATAAGCACTTCAGCCTTTTCAAGATGTTTTCTCATTTTTTATTTCACTAGCAGTGAAGAAGAAAAGAGTCATTCTGCCCAGTGACACACATGAGAAGGCAGGGCCAGGGCCCAGGTCCACAGCTCCCCATCTGGGTCTGGGGCCAGAACTTTTCTCAGGCTGCCCTCAGGATGGGGTGGGCCAGGCAGAGAGCAGTAAAGGAGGGAGTATATGGGAGGGGACAGAAGGGAGCTATGCCAACACTCAGGAGAAAAGGAAATAAGCAGAGCACTGACCAGGCAATGAGAGAACAGGAAACAGAAAGGGAGAAATGGTACATAATTGAGGAGTCACGTGAGAGAAGGCAAATACAGTGCCCCAGGGTAGATGGGGTGTATGGAGGCTGCTCCTTATAAATAACTCACAAACTGTTTTCCATTCACAAGGTTTTGATCTTCACATATCCTGTTTAATAATTCAAATATAGCTGTGAGGAATCCTTGGGCAGACCCAGTCCAGGTGCTTGAAGCCTGTGGCTCCTCAAACCTCAACTCAGTGAGTCTGGAATGGGAGTGGATGGGGGAAGGTCCTGGCTAAGAGAGTCCTATCTTCCTTGAAGCTAGCACTGCATCACCCTAACTCCTCATCATAGCTGGAACTCCAGGCTGAGTTATGTCTTATTTAATCCCCCAGTGAAATCACAGCTTAACACATCTGCACCGCAGCCCGATGGACCAACCTGAACCAAGAACCTTACTCTTCCAAACAAAACACCACTGTCTCTCCAGAGAGTGCCAAAAAGAAAATGAAAAGAAAAGAAGGCACCAATAACCCAGAACATCTATGCCTGCTGCCAACAGACGAGTATGGCTTCTACCCAGAGACCAGTTGCTGGGATGACCTCAGGCTGAGACTGGTGATGTGCAAGAAACTGTTTACCCCACCCAGTGACCTGTGAAAGCAAAAGGGATGTCACCCTAGAGATTGCACAGCAAGGTGACCAGAGGACCTGCAAGGGAAAAAAAAAAACTTTGTTGGGGCACTGCTACCTCAAGTGTACCTTCTGTACACTCACTGCCTTCTAGGTTTGATAAGCTCTCCAGTCATGTTGGTATTGCATGTGCAACCAGACTAAGAGCCTACAGAAACCTGATACTTGAAGATCAATCCAAGTTTGTTAAATAAGAAAAAATAAAGCTGTCAACATCAGAGCAGGATTGAGCTGGCCAGTAACCCCTAGGATCCTTAATCCTTTAAATATCTCTAAAGGAAAAGCTGTTAGAGTTTTTGTTTTTTACTCTGGAGAGCAAAACTGGAAACAGGAACAAGAACCCAGGTTCACTTTTTTCTCTAAGAGGATCACAGTCCTGCTATTTGAGGCCTGATCAAGAGTTATGAGCAGAGAAAGAAGATGAAGAGGCTGCCCCATAATTCCTGCAGATACACTGCACACTCATCCTCTTTCACCACAGAAGCTGGCAAAATCCTAAAGAAAGAATGTCTTTTAGCGCAGTTTATAGAGAACAAGGACACTGTCGTGCATGGGAGGACACTGAGCATTTATGTCTTGATAAGGATCTCAAACAAGCCTTTGATTATGATTACACAGCCTCCTGGGCCACCAGTGTCCCTAGTATGGATTACCATGACAGCCTCCTGTCTGGTCTCAGCTTCTATCCATGTCCCTGTCTGCAGTCCAATTCTCAACACAGCAGCTGGAGGAAATCTTTACAGGTAAGTCAGAGCATGTCATTCTTCTGCTCAACATCTTCCAATAATATCCAAGTTCACTCTTTCGCATGGCCTACAAGGCCCTCTATGTTCTTCCATTACCTCTCTCAGCTGCTCCTGATTGTCCTCTCCTGCTCTCTCAGCTCCAGCCACACCGACCTCCTGTGGCTCTCAAACACACTAGGCATGCTCCTACCTCAGAGCTTTTGCACTTGCTGTTCCTCCTGCCTAAGATGCTCCTTCTCAACATTGACAATCCCTGCCCTGCTCTACTTTTTATTTTTCCATAATATTTATCACCTTCAAATATAGCATAATTTACTTATTTGCTATGTTTGTCTACCTGCCTCTGCTAAAAGGTAACCTCCAATTTTTTTTTAATTTTATTTTTTTATTTTTTTTTATTTATTTATTTTTTTTTTTGAGACAGAGTCTTGCTTGTTGCCCAGGGTAGAGTGAGTGCCGTGGCGTCAGCCTAGCTCACAGCAACCTCAAACTCCTGGGCTCAAGCAATCCTACTGCCTCAGCCTCCCGAGTAGCTGGGACTACAGGCATGCACCACCATGCCCGGCTAATTTTTTATATATATATATATTAGTTGGCCAATTAATTTCTTTCTATTTTTATAGTAGAGACAGGGTCTCACTCAGGCTGGTTTTGAACTCCTGACCTTGAGCAATCCGCCTGCCTCGGCCTCCCAGAGTGCTAGGATTACAAGCGTGAGCCACCACGCCCGGCCTATTTTTTTATTTTTAATAAAAAGTCTTCAATGGGAGTTTTTATTTTGTTTTTTTATTTTTTTTTAATTTTTAATAAAAAGCAATTTTGTTTAAATCTCAAGTATCTGGAACAGTGTGTGGGACTTAGCAGGCACTCAATAAATTTATTTATTGAATAAATGAATGGCTTCTCTTGGCTACTTTGCCTTAGCGCCACCTATTACCTCCCTTTTGAGCTTTGTTCAAAAGGTACCAGTTTCCTTTGAAAAGCAAAGTGGTAAAAAGATTAAGAACACAGAGTGTAGGGTCAAAAAGACCTTGTTGCAAATCCCAGCTCTACCACTCACTAGGCTGGGTGATCTGTAGCAATCACATAACCTCTCTGTGCCTCACTTTGCTCACTAAAAAATGGGATTAATAGTGGTGCCTACTGATAGGGCAGCTACGGAAGTTAATGAATGTATACAAAGCACCTGAGGCAGGGCCTGGTATACAATAACGCTCAATAAATATTAGCTATTATAAGTCTAATCAGTTATTTCCCTGCTTCAAACTCTCCAATGGCTCTTAGGATCAAAGCTAAAATCATAAAGAGCATGACAGTCCCAACTTCACCTCTCTCACTCCCTACTATTCCAGTTTTATCTATGCTACCCCTCCCCCGCCCACTGTGCTCCAGTCACTCCAATTTTTTCCATGCCCTCAATCTCACCAAGCTTACTCTGCCCCAGAATCTTTGCACATGCTGTTTCCTCTACCTGGAATGCTCCAATCTAAGGATTGGCAAAGTTTTCCTAATGGGTCTGACAGTAAACATTTTTGACTTTGTAAGCCATATGGTCTCTGTCACAATCACTCAATTCTGCCACAGAAGCATGAAAATAGCTATAAAACAATCTATAAACAAATAGGAGCCACTGTGTCCCAATAAAATTTTACTTACAAAGGAAGCATCAGACCAGATTTGGCCTACAGGTGATTTGGCCTACTATCGTTTGCCACCCCTGCTCTAGTCCCTTCTCTTCACCTAGCCACCTCCTAGTCATCCTTTAATGCTCAGCCTAAATGTCATTTCCTCTGAGATACCACCCTCATTGCCCCTGACGAGGCTCTCAGTTGCCCTATTATATACTCCTATGGCACCCTCTGGCGCTCTTATCATAATCTTAAATTATCTCATCATTTAATCATTTATTTGTTCAATTGTTCATTATTTAATTGCTTCCCCCTCTAGACTATACACTACATAGGACAAGGACTGTGTCCATTTTACCTCTGCTGTATTCCCATGTTGAAAAAACGAAGAAGGTAACACTCCAAATGAAAAGAGCTTGGCTCTGGCCTCTAAGAATATATCTTACTACAATAGACAATGATCTGGATTAAAAATAGTCTGTGCCCGGCGAGAGAAGTAAAGATGCTGAAGCTATTTTCTTAGGGTTTAGAGCAGGGGGATTTATTTTTGGAGCTGTCAGTTAAAAGTCAGACTTAAGGACAAAGAAATACAGTACCTGATGGACATAATATTCCAGATCAAAGAGTGCAGCAATCTTCTCCTCCAAGCTGGAGCTGGAACTATTGAACTTGTTGATCAGCCGTACCATGATCTGCATGTCAGTCTCAATGACAACATTCAGTTCATCAAAGTCCTTCTTTAGCTCCTCGATGGGGCGGAAGAGCCGCTTCACCTCAGCCTGTCTTGCCTAAGGAGAGCAGCAAAGGGATGATTAATTAACTTGATTGGCAACACCCCCCCTCAAGACATCTGTGGTCTACCATGGATGCCGATCCTGAAAGAACTGCTGCTCCAAGACTCCCAATCTTCTCTAACGTGCACTGTAAAAATCCACATACTTTCTAATACACTTAGAGAAGACAGCCCTCAGAATCCAGTCATTTAGGCCTTCACACCATAAACACACCAAAAACACAGATTTTCCAAGGTTCACTTATTCCAGTCCAACTTCCAATGTTCAGGAAGAAGGAAAAGTCTTCTTATGGCAATCACTGAGGTCAGGGGAAGCAAGGCAAGCTCACCTTCAACCCCTAACCTCACACAGAACAGCTGAGATCTAAGGTAAAATAATCCGTCCACTGGTTCTCTACCTTTCACAATCATAGAATATCTTGGCCTACCCAACCGGCAACATTTTAGGGAAAGTTGGACATAGAAAACCGTGGGTAAGAGCTGTCAGAGCAGGAGTAATTTGCTGATGAAAATTAAATCACTGTGATTACTGTCAATCTAACCACAGGTGTACAATTTGTTCAACTGTTTGAAATGGTTAAATTACTGTATGTACTATGCTCAAACCTCAAACAATTTTCTCTCAATCCCCCCACCCCACACACATAAAAAGATTTTTAAAATGAAATCATGTTGGAGGTGAATAAAATACTTTAATATTTTATACATCTGACACTCCCTGTTTTCTTCCCAATTTTAGAGGATAGTGCTTATAAAGAGAATCTGGAAAGTCACAGTGGTTTATGTATCTGTCTTCCAAGAAAAATTAAAAGGCACAGATATTTATAAAAAGCAGGATGATGAGCAGCTGTCAGCTTCAAATTGCTCATCTATTACCTATGGGTTTCTTGCTCCAGTTATAAGCACTCCACAGAAACACCAACCAAAGAAATGAATCAGCCTGTCTTTAAAAAAGACCAAGCTCTCAGCAGAGCAATCACATCTATGGGGCAGCACATCCTGATTCTTTGGGCTAACACAACATGAAATGCTCTCCCTGCACCCAGATGGAGGACTCTGGATGGCTGCCGAAGCAGGTGAAAAGGTCTGGGAAGGCTGAGTCACTTTCTAGAGCAGCGAGATGACAGGCAAGCAAGCACAATAAGAAACTAATGACATCTGCTTCACAGAAATGATGTATGTCTGGCTCTCAAGACGACCTTTAAAAAAATAACAGCTTTATTTTGAAATAATTATCATCTCCCAGGAAATTATAAAAACAGTACAGAGAATATAATGTATCCTTTATCCAGCTTCCCCTGGTGTTAACATTTTACATAACAATAGTGCAATATTAAAACTAAGACAGGGACCTAAGTACACTACTGTTAACTAGACTACAGGGCTTATTCAGATCTCACCAGTGGCATGTATGAAATGTATGAAAATATGAAAATTGTATCATTCTATACAATTTTATCAAAGATACAGATTTGCGTAACCACCAGAACAATCAAGCTATAGAACTCTCCCACCACTGCCAAATGTTTTGGTACTACCATTATGTTACCTCTTTATAGATCCACCTCATCCTCCCACCCTATTCACTCCCATCCCTATGCCCTGGCAACCACTAATTTGTTCTCCATCTTCTATAATTCTGGCATTTGAAAAATATTATATAAATGGAATCACACAGCCTTTAACTTTTTAAGATTGGCTTTTTTCACTTAGCGGAATGCCCTTGAAATCAATCGAAGTTACTGCGCACACACATCAATAGTTCATTTCTTTTTAGTGCTGAGTAGTATTCCATAATATAGATGTACAGTTTAACTGTTCATCTGCTGAGGAACATCTGAATTGTTTCTGGGTTTTGGCTATTATGAATAAAATTGCTATGAACATTTGCATACAGGTTTTTGTTTAAACCTAAGTTCTTATTTCTCTGGGATAAATGCAGTGCAAATGCTGGGTTATATGATAAGCATATGTTTTGTTTTATAACAAACCGCCAAACTATTTTCCAGAGTGGCTGTACCATTTTACATGCCTACCATCAATGTGTAAAAGATCCAGTTTCTCCATATCCTCACCAATATTTAGTATTTTTTATTTTTTTATTTTTTTGGAAACAGAGTCTCACTCTGTTGCCCTGGGTAAAGTGCAGTTGTGTCATTGTAGCTCACTGCAATCCTCAACTCCTGGGTTCAAGTGATCCTCCTGCCTCTGCCTCCCCAGTAGCTGAGACTACACGCATGTGCCACAAAGCCCGCCTATTTTTTTCTTTTTTTCCTTCTTTTTGGTAGAGAAGGGATCTCACTCATGCTCAGGGTGGTCTCAAACTCCTGAGCTCAAGCAATCATCATGCTTCACCCTCCCAGCTGCTAGGCTGTACCTGGCCTATCACCATTTTTTATTTTAGGCACTCTAATAGATGTATAGTAATAGCTCATTGTGGATTTAATTTGTTATTTCCCTAATGGCTAATGATGTTAAACATCTTTTCATTTGTTTATCTGCCATCTGTAAGGTTTTTCGGCTGTGGGGGGGGGAGAGGGAGAGGGAGAGGGAGAGGGAGAGGGAGAGGGAGACCAAACCACGTGGCTTTATTTAGTGCTCCCGGACAAGGTTCTGGAGCCCCAAGAAAGGGGGGGGGCGGCCTTTTATACTGTTTGGGGTGGGCTAGGGACAAATTGGCAGTAAGAGCTGGGGTGACCTTTGGTGGCCATTGACAAATAGGAGGTGCTGGGGGTATTTGTGGAATCCAGGAGCCAAAACTCTCTTATCAGGGTGTGGTAGTTTTCAGCAGGGCAGTCGTCCTTGGCAGGTCTGGTCTCATGAGCCTTTTCTTTTTTGATCTAAGGAAGGGAAGGGGCCCGCCACCAGCCTTACACCATCCACATATCCTCTTTGGTGAAATGTCTGTTTCTATACTTTGGCCATTTTCTAAATAGGTTGTTGGTGTATAGTGTTGAGTTTTCAGAGTTCTTTATATATTCTAGATAAAAGTCCTTTGTCAGATACAAACAGTCCTTGCTTTGCATGGATCTGATATATACCAATTTTAAATAACACCAGTCTTCAAACATGACTGAAATTTCAATTACCACAGTATGTTAACTGTGAGTAATTGCATAAAGTACCAATTTTGCTGCTAGCTGTTCAGTCCCCAAATCACTCTATAAATAATAAAAATGTCCATCATGTTCAGTGACTGATCATATCACATCTTTCAAAGTCTATCAGTGATTGGTCACTGTACCGACTGTGATATTCAGCTCATACACAGATGCAAAGTGTATATATAATAGTTGTAAGGCCTCCTCATCTCCCAATGATAAAACCATGTAACAATTCACAAAGATGGATAATCAAAAGAGAGAACTGGCCAGCAAAGATGTAAGTGCAGCAAAGAAATAAAATGTGGTAACTTTGGCAGTGAAATTCAAATCGAATGGACATGGAGTTACAGAGGAAACAGCTGACCGCTAGAATGCTGAGACTGCCAATGTTTGATAAACTCTAGACATGCAGCCAGAGGAACTCGGCAAAGGCAAACTTACAGACACAAATTAGGAAAGTGATGAAAAGGATGTGACACTGGCAAAAACCTTCACTTTACAAGAACTCTCAGAAATTTCACAACATTGAAATCACAAAGGATAAAATTCTGGAAGCTGATCCGTACTTAGAAAGGAGCGTGACAATTCTCTAAGACATAGAAAAGATGCTTATTCTGTGTCACGAGTTATACAATGAGAAGCTAAGCACTGCTCAAACTACTCTTTGGTAAGTTTTTTTTACAAAGAAATATAAAATTTAATTCTCAATGTTTCTAATGTTTTAAATTATGGTGTTCTAAATAAATATTATGGCTACTTTTCCATTTCTGTATACATTTATAACCAACAGCAATGCAGTTTAAACTTTAGTAAGAATTTTTAAAGGTCATAGAACAATCATAATTTTTCCCGTGGTAATATTAAGATTGCTTTGCATAGTTTCAGCTTGCACAGTCTTTTTCAGTCCTACATGACAATGTGAAATGAGGACTGCTGATATATGATTTGCAAATATTTTGTCCAGTACCTTATCTTATAATCATCTTTCTTAACAAGGTCTTTTTTACAGGGCAAAAGTTTTTAATTTTTGTGAAGTCCAACTTGTCAATTTTTTTCTTTTATGAGCTGTGCATTTGCTGTCATATGTTAAGAACTCTTTACCTGGTCCAAGTTCCCAAAGATTTTCTATGTTTAGTTCTAAAAGTTTTTTTTTTTTTAAGCTTTACATTTTATATTTAAATCTATGAACTAGTTTGAATTAATTTTTTTTTTAAGGTATGAGGTTTATATGAGAGTTTATTTTTTGCTTATGGATGTCCACTATTCATTGAAAATACTATTTATCTTCTGATGAATTGGTTTTGTACTTGTCAAAAATCAATCAGGTGTATTGGTGTGGGCCTATTTGTGGGTTCTCTCTTCTGTTCCATTGATCTATGTTTCTTTCTCCCTATCAATACTACACTGTCTTCCTTACGGTAGCTATACAGTAAGTCTGCAAATCAAGTAGAATGATTTCTCCAACTTTATTATTCTTTTTAAAAATTGTTTTAGCTATTCTAGTTCATGTTTCCATATGAACTTTAGAATAAGCTTATCTATATCTATGAAAAATCTTGCTGGGATTTTGATCAGAATTGCACTAAACCTATAGATTGATGTGGGGAGAGCTGATGTTTTTACTATGCTGAGTCTTTCAATCTATGAACACAGTATGTCCCTCCATTGATTTACATCTTCTTTGATTTAATTTTATAATCTTTCGTCTAATTTTATAATTTTCAGCATTACAGATCTTGCATATCTTGTTAGATTTATTCCTAAATAACTCATTTTTAGGAGAGCAACTATAAATGGTACCTGTGTTTTTAATTTCAGTATCCAAATATTCATTGCCAGTATACAGAAATATAATTGACTGATATTGGTTTTATATCCTATAACCTTGCTG